GAATTTCAACAAGAGGAATATTGGTTTTCTAACTGATAGTTTCTATATCGATCTTCAAGTATAACAAAATATATATTTTAAAAAATAAATTTGGTATGACATGAAATATTTTTTATAAAAAGTTTAAATAAATTATTTCGAAATGGGATTGTTTTTTAAAATTGTCACGACCCAAAATCTAACCATGGTCGTGATGGCTCCTATCGTGTTACAAGGCAAGCCTACTTCCCAAAATATTACTACTAAACCGATTATAAGATTTTAATAAAATATTTCAACATTTAAATTTTTCATAAACTAAATCAACTCTAAATATAATATAGAAAAATACGGAAACGAGCCCCAAATATCAGGGTGTCACTAAGTCATGAGCATCTAAAACTATGAAATAAGATATATAAGCTGTCTAACTGTCCAAACGAAGAAATGACAAGAGGAGTAACAAGGTCCTGCGGACGCTAACAACTACCTTGCAGTCTCCAAAGATAGCCGGCCTGAACTCAACGATCGCTGCGTTCTAACTCACCTGGATCTGCACATAAAGTGCAGGGTGTAGTATAGGTACAACCGACTCAGTAGTAACAGAAATAACTAAGGAACTGAGCAGTAGTAACGAGCTAAGCAGAATAATCCAATTATTATTTCCAAAATTAAGTACAAACAGGAGCAGACAGGTAATTTCATAAATCAGTAAGACTGCAAGGAAAATTAACAGGTAAATGCAGCAACAACAAAAGTAAATGCAACCTCACATCAATGTCACTCCATCACTCAGCACTCAACGCTCAACACTCTGCGCTCACTGGGGGTGTGTACAGACTCCAGAGGGGCTCCCAAAGCCCAAGCACTAAGCACGGACAACTCACGTGCCATCATATCAATACCTGGATCCGCACGGTCAACTCACGTACTACGCGGACAACTCACGCGCTATGGTATCAATACCTAGACCCGCACGGTCAACTCACGTGTTACGTGGACAACTCACACGCTATGGTATTAATATCCTCACAACCAAGCCCTCGGTCTCACTCAATCATATACCTCACTAGTCTCACCATCATCAACAAATAAGGGAACACAACCCACACCACGTATCAGAGCATATTAGCAAATAATAGAGACTGAGGTAAACATGTACAATAATTTCTATGACTGAGTACAAATAATGTGAGCATGAATAAAGCCTAAGCATGATCTCTAACATGAAGGCATACAAGTTCAACAACAAGTAACTACGTAAACACATATGATGGCCATGAGGCCTCACGGGATGGACCAAGTCTCAATCCCTCGAGGTATACACATATGTTGATGATGGTGAGGTTAGAGAGGTACATGACTGAGTGAGGCCGAAGGCCTGTTGTGAGGTATTTGATTGAGGCACGTGAGTTGTCCGTGCAGATTCAGGTATTGATACCATAGCACATGAGTTGTCCGCATAGCACGTGAGTTGACCGTACGGATCCAGGGATAGATATTATGGCAAGTGAGTTGTCCGTACATCACGTGAGTTATCTGTGCTTAGCGCTTGGGCTTTGGGAGCCCCTCGGAGTCTGTACATACCCCCATTGAGCGCAGGTACCTATTGAGTGTTGAGTGTTGAGTGTTAAGTCCGAGTGCTGAGAGCCGAGTGTTGAGTGATGGAGTGACATTGCTGTGAGGTTTCATTGCTTTTGCTGTTGCTGCACTTTACCTGTTAATTTCTTTATAGCATTTATTGAGTTGATGGAATTTACCTGTTTATTTCTATTTATTTTAAATTGTGATAAAGAAATAGTTGAATTGTTCTACTTAGCTCGTCACTACTACTCAGTTCCTTAGTTATTTCTATTATTACTGAGTCAGTTGTACTCATACTACACCCTGCACTTTATGTGCAGATCAAGGTGAGTTAGAGTGCAGCGATCGTTGAGTTCAGGCCGACTATCATTGGAGACTGCAAGGTAGCTGCTAGCGTCCGCAGGACCTTGTTACTCCTTTTATCATTTCTTCTTTTGGACTGTATTGATAGTTAGACAGTTTCATTTCTTAGTTCATAGATTTAGACGCTTATGAATTAGTGACACCCCGATTTTTGGGGCTCGTTTCCATATTTTCTATAATTATATTTAGAGTTGATTTAGTTTATGAAAAATTCAAATGTTGGAAATATTTTATTAAATTCTTATAATCGATTTAGTAGTAATATTTTTGAAAATAGGCTTGCCTTGTAACACGATAGGTGCCATCACGACCATGTTTAGATTTTGGGTCGTGACATTTACAGAATCAATGATAATATTTTTAACAATTTCAATACAGAAAAACTCATAATCACCCCAAAACCCGGTGTCACAAGTGCATGAGCATCAACTAGGAATATAAAATAAAATACAGCATCTATCCGGAATACAAATTTGGACAGGAGGAATATAAATACTCTGAAGGAGACTCTGTCGGCTGCGGGTCATAATTTGGAATGCAGCTCACGTAAGTCCCTGCATGCATACACGCCTTTGCTCTCACAAGGCCACTAGTCACATACGTACCTGCACAAAAATGTGCAACAAGTGTAGCATGAGTACGTAATCAACGTGTACCCAGTAAGTATCTAGCATAATCCTGGAGGAGTAGTGACGAGGGATCGACATAGACACTCACTAGTGGTCCAATAACATCAGGTACAGTAAAAAGATAAGAAAACATGAGGCAGAGTAAATAAATGAGGTAAACAAGTATAAATCACGTGGTACAAATCCCCCCTCTTTACGAGGAACTAAAGCTCTCTATTAGAAATTCCCTCCTTAACCGGAGCATATATATATAGATATAGTGGATCTCATCAGATAGATTGTCATAACCCAAATCGGGAAAATTCACAGATATACTGGCTTCTTGCCAAATATTATGCACGATTTCCATGAGGATATGATATAGGAAATTCTGAGGCGTACGGTCTGATCCAATATAAATATTTAAGCCGTGCACTGTCGAGGATCGAACGGCCCGAACCATAGATACATCTATTAAACTGTCGAGGCGAACGGCCCGCTCCCATGAGAGTGTGGTACATAAATCCTGTCGAGACGAACGACCCGATCCCATAAGAGTGTGGTACATAAATCATGCCGAGGCAAACGACTCGATCCCATAAGAGTGTGGTACATAAATCCTGTCGAGGCGAACGACCCGATCCCATAAGAGTAAGAAGCTTTGACGGGTCCTTGACCCCACTCACGAATAAACGTGTGAGTTGAAATTTCTTTAACAAAAGCCTTTCAATGAAACATATATACCACGTAAACATGCCGTAAGAGGAGTAAAATTACTCGGTGACTAATCATGACCTCGTGAAGTCTCTACAATAGCAAGTTTAGTCTCAAGTAGTAATGTAAAACAGAGGAATTCAATAGGCGAGAGACTGCTCAGATAGTACAACTATGGCATGATGTGAACCTAAGCCTACCCAGACAATAACATGAATGTAGCTACGTATGGGCTCTCGTTACCTCGCGCTTACGTAGCCCCCACAACAAGTAGCACACGTCAATATACAACACCTAGGGGTAATTTTCCCCTCACAAAGTGTCACGACCCAAAATCTGACTAGTCGTGATGGCACCTAACCCAACCCGCTAGGTAAGCCATTTATCAACTATCCAATTCCAATAAATTTAATAAGGCAATTCATTAAAATAAAATATATGAAACCAATACATTTTCTCAAGAACTGGTAGTACAAATCATGAGCTTCTAAGAATAGAGTTTACAAAGCTGGTATGAAATAAATACATCATCTGTTTGAAAAGTACATAAACAGAGTTTTATGAATCTAAGACTACCATGAACAAGAGGCAACTACAACCGGAACACAGGTGCACTTTCAGATCCAACTCCCGATGAACGCAGCAACATCAGCAGCCAACATATGCTCGCAAGGTGCAGAAGTGTAGTATGAGTACAACCGACCCCATGTACTCAATAAGTAACAAACCTAACCTTAGGTTGAAAGTAGTGACGAGCATGTACCAAGGTCAGAGTCCAACTCCAATAACCAACAACAGTTCATAACCACATAAAGCAAGTAATAAAAGAAGTAACCCAAGGAATAAATGCTCAGCTAAATCATGATTTTCAAAAATAGTTCTCCCTTTCAAGTGTATCAGTGAAAGTCCCAAGTCGTTTACCGAAGTTGCCAAAAATACGAATAAGTTTGAAAACAGTAATTTTTGCCAAATATCCTTTCAACAATGATAAGATGTTTTATTTTCTTTCCAGATAGCCAGTGGAAAAATGCATCACTATGCCCGTAGGCCAATATGTGTGAGAAGTCATGAATGACGTGATACCGTACATCGTGAGGAAAATACATCTCTATGTTTGTATGTCAATGCAATGTATCTCAGTGATAAAACCATATGCATACTTCTCAGAGTATCAATTCACTCAGTCTCACCATCACTCAGTCCTCACTAGGGGTGTTCATGGTTCGGTTTGGCTCGGTTTTTGCTCAAAACTAAATCAAACCAACTAAAGCATTTTTTCAATATTAAAACCAAACCAAACTAATATAGTATACATTTTATCGGTTTTATCGGTTTGGTTCGTTTTTTGCCGGTTTTTTCGATTTTTAAAGATATAGTTTATAATGTAAAGAAATTGATATAAGTGAGATTAAAAATAAAAATAAAAATGAGATATAGGAAAGCAAAACGTAAGGAGAATGTAGCCGTAACATAGAACTGTAAACACTAATACCAAAATCAACTTGATATCATGCTACTGTCATTCTCATTCCATAGAAAATAACTACAATGAAATAAGAATCCAAACACCTTACAAAGTGAACCTCAATTGAAACAATAGCAAAATTGAAAATTTACTGCCAAAGTGCAAAATATCTTCGATTGAAGTTACATCATATTGAACAAGTTCATCAAACACACTACTACTACTACTACTACTACTACTACTACTACTAGTTGCTTCTGTTACCAATTTCAACTGGAATATCAAAACTAATCAATACTCAAAGTTGTGCCAGCATATTCTGAAAAAGAAAAAAGTTAACATATTAGGCCTTAAAGCTTTAGAAATATAAAAAACATATTCAAAAGAGTTAAATGTGTAAATTTACCTTTTTCAACTATCTCAAGATTCTGAATTTCTTCTAAAAGATCTTCAAGCTTGTATTCTTTATAAGTTGATCTTAACCATTGCTGAGTGCAAATAAGAGCTTCTACTGTCTTCGGTGATAAAGAACTTCGATAAGAGTCAAGAATTCAACCACCAGTACTAAAAGCAGATTCAGATGCAACACTAGAAATAGGAATAGAAAGAACATCTCTTGCAATCCTAGAGACAATTGGATATCTAGCAGATGAAACTTTCCACCAAGCCAAAATATTTAAATCGTTGGTCTTTTCCAAATCATCTACTAGGTACTTCTCAAGTTCAGATTTATATTGACTTCATCTGCCAAATATTTCTTCCATTGTGATTGCCACATCTCGTCACTGTCTAGGACATCAATTTCATCCATCAAGCTCGTTTGACCACCAGTTCTGTCACTAGAAGTCTCACAAAAAGAACTCTTGTAATGGCCATACAAGCGAGTCAAAGTATCCATCACCTTTTTGGACTGTTGGCCTCCCTCCAAACTACCATAAGACTTGTTGAAAAGAAATTCCACATACTTCAACTTATATTGTGGATCCAAAACAATAGCAAAAAATAATAACTTGTTCATACTCTCAAAAGTACCCCAATATTTTTTAAATTTAACCTTCATCTTCTCAGCCATGCCACTCAAAATAGAATCTTCACTGTGAGAATATTTTCGAATAAAATTCTGAAGATTAAAGATCTCATGGAAAAAAGAATTGGAAGTAACATATGAAGTTCCTGAGAATTTCAAAGTGACTTGGTAGAATATCTCAAGGAACTTAATAAAAACTTTAACATTCTTCCAATCATCCATAGATGGATGTCCTCCCATACTATTCGTCTCTAAACATTATTTGAGGTACTTATGATCATCATCATACATTCTTGAAAATCCCTTTTCAAACTTTACAGTTGTATCTAGCATCATATATGTGGAGTTCCACCTAGTTTCAACATCTAAAGTCAAAAGACCATGAGTGTCAATCTTAGCCTTCTCAACAAATGACTTAAAGAATAAAACCTTCAAGCTGAGGACTTAACATATTTGACAACATTTCTTACTCGAGAAATGGAATCATTTTGTTCAGTTAGCCCTTATTTCACGATTAAATTTATAATATGAGCATTGCATCTAATATGCAAGAACTCATTTCTAAGATGCCTCATTTTCAATCCTCAATCCTTCTTTTTAAATGTTTAATTATAGCTTCATTAGCAGTTGCATTATCTAGGGTCACCGTAAATATGTTCTCAATCCCCCAGTCCAACAAGCATACTTCAATCCCCTTAGCAATTGTCTCACCTTTATGATCCGATGTTTGAAAAAAGTTGAGAATTGTCTTTTTTAAATTCCAATCATCATCAATCCAATGAGCAGTAATAACCACATAAGTTAAATTTTGAAGTGATGTCCATGTATCACTAGTAAGACATACACATTGATTCTGAATAAGCTTTGTAAGCTTTTCTTTCTCTTCTTGATATATTTTCAAATATTGCATAGCAACAGTCAGACGAGAAGGTAATTGAAAATTAGGCAAAGAAACTGACATTAATCTCTTAAAACCTTCTCCTTCAACAACTTTAAAAGGTTGTTCGTCGATAATGACAAACTCAGCAATGGCTCTCCTAATCTGATTAACATTAAACACAACCTTTTCTAAAGTACATGTGCTATATGTTTGTTCCCCTTTTCTAATCGGCCTGAGTAGGTGCCTGTGGCAGAGCCAGCTCCGGTGGATTTCACATATGCACCGGGATTCCAGGATGTCATGGGTCGTATGATGCGATTCATGGACACTATGACTCAGACCGGTTTATTTCTGGCAGACCCAGCCACATCGCATGCGGGCGGGGGAGCATAGACTCCGACCGCACAGGCTCATGGGCAGGCAGCTGCTGTATATCAGACCCAGGGTGCACTACCCGTGGGTGGAGCTCAGCCAGTGGCAGCAGCTACACCTGAGCCCAGGCCAGCTGCAGCCGCTGATCCGCAGAAACTATTGGACAGATGGACTAGGCTACATTCTCCTGTCTTTGGGGGTGAGCGACATGAGGATCCCCGGGATTTCATTGATCGGTGCAAGGCTAGACTATACAACATGAGGATATTGGAGTCTTATAGGGTTGACTTTGCTACTTTTCAGCTATAGGGCAGAGCCCGTAGATGGTGGAAGTCTTATCTTCTTGGCAGACCAGCAGATTCTCCTCCCATGACTTGATACATGTTCACCCGTATCTTCCTGGACAGGTATATTCCACCTTCCCAGAAGAAAGAGTTGCAGTTTTAGTTTGAGCAGCTCCAGCAGGGTCAGATGTCAGTGACCGATTATAAGGTGAGGTTTTTTGAGTTATCTCTCCATGCACTTATGATACTCCCTACTGAGGCGGAGAGAATGCGGAGGTTTGTTGCAGGTTTACATAATGGAATTCAGGCAACTATGGCCCGAGAGGTTGAGATGGGTACTTCTTATGAGCTAGTCGTGGAGATAGCCCGTAGGATTGAGGGTATGCGTTAGCGGAGCCGAGAGAAGGTTATGAGAGATAAACGGTTTAGATATTCTGGAGAGTTCAGAGGTGCTCCGTCTGGGGGTAGAGGTTAGTTCGTGAGAGGGTAGTCCAGCAGGTCCCCATATCCAGCACCACCGCCTCCTCGGGGTGCTCCAGTGCAACCTTATTTCAGTACTATACCAGAGAGTTCTTATCGCCCACCAACTATTCAGGGTCCTTCCAGTGGGTATTCAGGTCACTGGGGCCAAATTCTTAGTCAGCAGCCCATTGTACCTAAGAGTTGTTACGAGTGTGGGGATCTCAGTCACATACGGAGATTCTGCCCCCGATTTTGGGGTAGACCAGTGCAGCAGGGTCAGCAGCCTATGATTACTGCACCAGTCATCTGACCACCAAGAGGTGGATGACATGTGGGTAGGGGTCATCCTAGAGGTGGAGGTCATCCAGGTGGAGGCCAGCCAGTTGGCGCTCCAGCTTGGTTCTATGCTTTTCCGGCTAGACCAGATGCAGAGGCCTCAGATGTCGTGATTACAGGTATTATTTCTGTTTGCGGCAAAGATGCCTCCGTATTATTTGATCCAGGATCTACATATTCCTATGTGTCATCTCTATTTGCTCATTTCCTGGTGTTTCCCGTGAGTCCTTGAGTACTCCCATTTATGTGTCCACTCCTGATTTTATTGTTGTGAATCGGATCTACCGGTCATGTATTATTACATTCTGTGGTTATGAAACTAGAGCAGATCTCTTATTGCTTGAGATGATGGATTTTGAAATTATCCTGGGCATGGACTGGTTATCTCTATATCATGCCATCCTTGATTGCCATGCCAAGACTGTTACCTTAGCTATTCCATAATTTCCCAAGTTGGAGTGGAAGGGTTCGTATGTTAGTGCATCTAATTGGGTTATTTCTTTTATGAAGGCTCAACACATGGTTGAGAAGGGTTGTTTAGCTTATCTAGCCTATGTTCGGAATACTATTGCAGAGACTCCGACTATTGATTCAGTGCTTGTTGTTCGAGAGTTCTCTGATGTATTTCCTTCAGATCTTCCAGGCATTCCACCTGATAGTGATATTGATTTCTGTATTGATTTGGCTCCAGATACCCATCCTATATCTATCCCACCATATCGCATGGCTCCGGAAGAATTGAAAGAATTGAAAGAATAGCTTGAGGAGTTACTAGGCAAAGGGTTCGTCAGACCGAGTGTATCGCCTTGGGGTGCACCGGTGTTATTTGTGAAGAATAAGGATGGAACGATGCGAATGTGTATTGATTATCGTCAATTGGACAAAGTCACTATTAAGAACAAGTACATGTTGCCGCGTATTAATGATCTATTTGACCAGTTGCAGGGTGCTAGGGTATTCTCTAAGAACAACTTGAGGTCAGGGTACCATTGGTTGAAGATTCGAGATTCGGATGTTCCGAAGACTGCTTTCCGGACTAGATATGGTCATTATGAGTTTCTGGTGATGTCCTGTAACGACCCGACCGGTCGTTTTGATAATTTAAGCTTCGTTCGGCAGCATAAGGCCTTGAACAGCTTCACATTATGTATATCGACCTGCGTGCATGGTTGGATTCAGTTGCCGAATGATTCGGAGTCGAATTGGAAAAAGGATTCTAGTTTTGAAAGCTTAAGCGGTGAGAATTTGACCGAAATTTGACTTTTTGTGTAAATGGCTCCGGAATGAGTTATGGATGATGTCAGCAGCTTCGTATGGTGCTTTTGGGCTTAGGAGCGCGTCCGAAATGTGTTTTGGAGGTCTGTAGTAGATTTAGGCTTGAATTGGCGAAAGTTGGATTTTTGGCGATTTCGGTCGGCAGTGAAAATTTTGATATCGAGCCCAGAATGGAATTCCGGAAGTGGTTGTAGTTTCGTAGTGTCATTTGTGACCTGTGTGTGAAATTTGAAGTCATTCGGACTAGGTTTAATATGTTTCGGCGTCATTTGTAGAATTTGGAAAATTCAAACATTTTAGGCTTGAATCTGTGCTCCATTCATGTTTTTGATGTTGTTCAATGTGCTTTGAAGGCTCGACTAAGATCATATGGTGTTATAGGATTGGTTGGTATGTTTGGTTGAGGTCCCGGGGGCCTCGGGTGTGTTTCAGATGCTTAACGGATGAATTTTTGGACTTAGGTTATTACTGTAGTTTTTTCTGTTGTCTGGTGTTTCGCACCTACGGAGTGGGAACCGCAGGTGCGGACTCGCACGTGCGGAGATGGAAGCGCAGATGCGAGAATTTAGAGTTGTCCTGGGGTCGCAGGTGCGAGGAAGTTCCGCATCTGCAATGCCCGCAGATGCGCAGAAGGCTCGTCGGTGCGGAGACTGTGGGAGTTAGTGACTTTCGCAGGTGCGACTGGTTAGACCGCAGGTGCGGTAAGCGCAGGTGCAAGAAATAGTTGCAGGTGCGAGGATCGCTGGGCAGAAAAGGGGTTGGAATCGAGGGTTAGTTCATTTTCACTCCATTTTTTATTTTGAGCTCGAGAGAAGGCGATTCTTTGAGGGATTTTCAGAGGAATCTTGTGGGTAACGATTTCTTACTCGAATTTGGTTTTATTGCATTAATCTATTGTAGTTTTCCTCATTTAATCAAGGTAATTGGGTGAGAAATGTACGAAATTGGGGGAAAAGTTCCCCAATCGAAATTCTGAGTTTTGATCGAGTTCTAGGCATCGGATTTAGATGATTTTTGTACGAGTGGTCTCGTGAGTGAATGAGTGTTCTAAATTGGTAACTTTTACCCAATTCCGAGTTGTGGGCCCGGGGAGACTGTTTGGGCGTTTTTCCTATTTTCTTGCCTTAGCTTTGAATTCATTAGCTAAAGTAGTTACTTGTAGTATTATTTACATTATGCAATATTGATTTGATTAGATTTGGGCCATTCGGAGTTGGATACTCGTGGCAAGATCATGGTTTCGGATTGAGTCAAAGCGATTCGAGGTAAGTATCTTGCCTAACCTTGTGTGGGGGAACTACCCCTTAGGATTTGAGTCATCTATGTTGATTGTAGTCTGTGTACGCGAGGTGACGAGTGCGTGCTCGGACTTATTTGTGGAAAGTTGGCCTTTTAGAGTTCTTATGTCCTTATATTCATAGTGTATGATGTTGTTCTTGATACGCTTGAATTCATATTTGCTAGTTTCACCTCTACATGCTTTGATTACAGATAATTGCTTTAGGATTCACTCTTACTATCTATTTGACCCTTATTCGACTTAACCAAAGATTTTACCTCTTCTATCGTCGTGCTATATTTTTCATAACTGCTTATCTTTAATTGAAATCATTATTTTCTCATCCTATACT